TATGTGCCAGTTCTTTTTAATTCAAACATTTTTTTTAAATTTAAACACTTGGCGCAGATACAACGAACATTATTGCGACTAAATATTCATCGCGAAATTCTCCAAAATGATAATGAAAAATCTGGTCGTGCGACTGACAAATGTCATATTTATGCCACTTTGAAATTATATCATTTTCCTGTAACTTTAATAAATTTCAAACTTTATTAAATCTCTGAAGAAGTTGAAGTGCGTGTATGCTTGGTCGAAACTAAATTTTTTTTCAACTACTATTAATTGACTATATGAATTTCTGTATGGTATGCGGATCATATTTAACATTTATACAATTTATCGTTTTCCTAATAAAATGAACGCAAGCTAATGAAAAATAGTTCGAGTAATTTGTCGGCGCGATGTGTCGGGAATGCATGTACGCGGCCTCTGTTGCACGAAGCTGCGTAGCTCGCAGCGCAATAATTGATTGATACGCGTGCAAAGCGTAGTTTTGTTTTCGCGAGGTAGTCATTATTGTGTCTTCAAAGGGAAGAGGAAGCAAAGGCTCGCAAGAAAGGGAGACGCGATAGAATGGCGGTGTGAAAATCGTCAGTAATTGCAGTCGATCGCCTTCGATCTTAATTGAGACATCCGCCCGTTAGCAAGAAGCTAACTACAGGAAGGCTGCGAAGAAACGATAATAGACGCGCTATCGTTTCTTCGCGTAATATCCTGCAACAAAAGTCAGGTGCAAGAAACGGGCTTATTTTGTCGTTTTTTATCTGATACGTTCTGCTTATCCCGCTTTACAAAAGACGAAGATCTCGTAGCGAATGTTTTACTTGCGAAAGCCCACCTCTCTCGTAACGCGGAAGGAAAGTTTGACGCGTTAAGAAAAGGGCGAATGTTCGAAGAAGCGGCTTCCTAATTTACCCGAGACCCATATATTTTATGTACTTTTACGCCGTGACTAGGAATCTAAGGAAAAAAAATGAGCAGTTCGTATCGTCTCAACGGTGCATATCTACCGTGGGTATATTGGAAGATGCTTCATGTAGAAGATTTACTCTTGAAGAATTCGCGGAAAAATGTCTCGTTTTTATTTCAATAAACTAAAAGGGACGAGTGGTATGCGTATTATTCGCAAACGTGGGTTCGGGATGCACGAAACGCGTGAAGCTTGAACAAAAGAGAAAGGAGAGGAAACCGTGAAAAGTGGCCCTCCCACGACCGTGTTCCGCCGGTATAAGGCGAAGCGAGGCTTCCGCAACGGCGGTGGCCAACAATTCGAGAGATTCGCTCGCCATGGAAACGCCGCAAGTTATGAGCCCACCGGCGACCCTGCCGGGCGCGTTGAGGTCGATGGGGTGCTCTCTGGAATGTTTTAATAATATGCATTCCGGTGGACGAACTTTTGAAGTTCCGGAGCCGGCGGGGAAACGGCCGACGGGGATGAACCAAGCCGAACCGCGATACACTTTATATAATAATGATAATGGGCGCGCGCGCGAAGGAGATAGCTCGCGGTTTTTCGCGAACGACGATATTAAAACTCGTTTACTCGCTTAGAGTGAGTAGCTGTCTATAATTATAGACTTTCACCTACTGCGTGCGGGCTGACAGGAATGACGACGTGTTTGAGATAAGTGAGATAGATAAGATAATTTACTGTAATCTGCGCGAGCGCGGCAGGATATACGGCCCGCGACGTAATAAATTTCTTGATCGTTACTATGTGTACGCGCTCGGGGATACTCGTGTCACGCCGAGGAGGAGACAGTATGCAGATAGCCGCGTACGTTTCTCCTGACGAGCGCTTGACACGATTTCGTCGTTAGCGAGCCAGGAAAGTTAAACATAATCAACACCGATCTACCGATTACCGGCGATGTCGAGTATTCGTTTAATGACCGGAAAACACACATCAATTTTGCTTTTCCTCTCCACGTGGTCCTCCTCGGCTCTCAGCCATGGTATACGCGATTGCTCCTCGCTCGAACACGTGATCTCGTTCCATCCTATTTCACATCGTTTGCCGAACATTATTTTCCAATCAACTTCTTAGCGTTCCTCCGTTATTCACATGGAACGCTCGTTTTCTGCGAATTTTTATTCCCCCCGAAGTATCACTCGGATGTAAGCGCGCAAAGTATAATTACTCCTTGTGGCAGGGCGATTCGCGTATGACGACGCCGGGATACCGCGTGTGGCGTACGTTTCAATGGGAAAACCAAGGCGATAGATTAACGATGCGTGAAAGGCACCGATTGGTCAAGCCTTCGAGCACAGTCGACGTCGAATTTGCATATACGGGGGCGTTGGGAGGAGCGCCGGCTTATTGCACAGCTCTTCGTGACTCGCTCACGGCCAATAATTTTATTCCTTCGATTAGTAGGATACCGCGTGTCCGAGAGATTTCAACACGTGTTCGTTAATAGTCACGTCGTGTTTCCTTCGATTTTTAACGGGAGGTAAACTTCTAACGGAATTACGCTTGGAACACGTCGTGCTGCGTTTTTTCGTAAACAAAAGAGGGCTTTCCCATGATGCCGAACTTCCGGGGGATAGTTTTTCGAGGTAGCCCGGCTCTCGATTCACTCTGAAAGACCGGCTAGACGTGTTCTTTGACAATTCCATCATGGGACTCGGCGAAATCGCGCGTAACCCCGTCATTAACTAGTATATTATGCCGACTAACAGGCGGTCCAAATAAGCGCAATATCTCTACCCCGGAAGAGAGAACGTAGGAAGAAAGCTGCGCATATGCGGCCGTCACGCCCCCATCCTTTCAGCAGCCCGATTAAGCACCCCGTTCGCGGATGCAGCTCGCTTGAGCGCGAGCTCATTGCCGAAAATGAACCGTTGAAAGGATCGACCATTGTAAATGTCCCGAGAGAGGAACAAAAGTGCAGATCCGGTGGGATCGTCGCGACATCTTCGTTGCACTCGACGCGACACCGCGATAATGTCGATCTATTTGTTTTCGAAGAGAGTTTGGGCTGCTTAGGATCGCTTTGACAGAAAATCATCGCGAGCTAAGATGTAGTATTTCGCGTGTAATTTGCATTTCCTCTCCGGTAGAAATATATGCAATTTTCCTAGTAGTAGCAACATGCACGTAAAGTCATTAACATTATAGTAACATTTATTGGAAAAGTAGTTATCTCAACTATTTTTGTGGTTGAAATGAAAAAGGGGATCTTCTTGTCCCCGAAAATAACTATATTATTCTCTCAGTGCAATTACCGTCTAGTATTAATGTATTTCTTATTAGTTGTAACAACGCTACGTATGAAATAGATGAGAACTTGATACAGTTTTGTTCAGTGATACTTCTAGGACAGAATTGTCCATATATTTTTTTTCTGTTTTCGTTCGGTAAATGGGTTTAGATCTTGCGCATTTTTTGTGCGCAGTAACTACCGGAAAAATATTACATCTTGATTGGGACCCCAAGTAGTTTTACTCCTTAGTTAGGCAACAGTTGACAAACTGTCCAGTGACTGTTCAAATTTTATTCAGTGATTTTCGAGTTTTGTAATACCGACCCAATCGGAGGTGCTCGTCAAGTTTCGGGACAACCACCGAGGATAAAATTTCCCTCGAAAAGAACGTTTCAGACTGTAGCCCTGGAATAGCTATTTTTTCCGTTCATCTCGGCGCAATAACCGAATTTTAATCTCGAGAAATATTTTTAGACGGAGCCGCGAACGTGGCGATTTTTCAAACTACGTTGGCTGACGAAGTCTCGTTGAGAGAATACCGACTTTGAGATTTGATCCAAAGAGACGAACGCCTCGCTAGGTCGAGAGGAAGCTCAATGGCTCAGGTATAGACGGTGCATACACGGTAGGATCGTCGGCGCGCATACCGCGCGGTATGAACAGCAGCGGCGGTCGAGGAGAGATATCCGTTGCAAATTGTAACGCTCGATCGCACAATCGACAGGCCGGATACGCCGAACGTATCATCGCTGTCGTTTTCTCCGTTAAAAGGCACTTGTTGGAGTGCGTCCGAGCATGATCGATCTGCTCGTTAAAGTAGCCCCCTCCGAGTAATCTGCTTTCGAGGATCATAGAGGTCCCGCGCGCTCGCAAGGACGCGAGACGCATCCTCCCGTCACCAAACGGGAGGGCCACAGCGTGTTCATGCTCACAGAAGCGCATCCCTCGCGCGCGCATTCACGCGTGTAGACGCGCGCCCGTGGAGGAATCGGGGAAAAATCGCAATCGAGAAAGCACAATGCTCGAGAAAGGAAACAAGAACAAAGTCCTTCGCAACGATCTCGCGACGATCATCCTGTCGATGTCTCTTTTTCATCTCCCCCGTCTCTTCCTCTTCTCCTTCTTCTTCCTCTTCATCTTCTCCTTCACCTTCTTCCTCTTTTTCTTCTTTCTCTTCTTCTTCTTCTTCCTCCTCCACCAATGGAACGCAACGCGCACAATGGACGCTTCGATACGCGGGAAATCCTTTCTGCCGATCTTCGCTGTAGCGACTTAAGCGGCTGAAAGGATCTTCTTCGAGGATGATTCTCCGCTCTCCGAGTTTCTCTTTGTAAGTCGCGCTGTATTGTGCCGTGTGCGTACACGCGTGCGTAACCATGTTACTTTTTCTCCCTTTTCCTCTCTTTTTACTGGAAATCGAGAGAAAGAGGGCGGAGGGAGCGGGTATGTATCGTGTTCGCGGCCTTTTCTTTTCGCATCGATTATCGGATGATCGGCTTACAATTCGTACAGTTCACGTAGATCATCGTACGAATTAGGGTCGCGTCATACATACTGATCCGACAATGAGCTGTGAAAAATAGCGAAAGACCTTGCGAGAAAGGAAGAATCTCTATCTTTTTTTTTTTCGGCCCAAGCGTTTAAAAGGAGATCAACTCGGGTCTTCGTCTCTCGCTGAACGGGAAGGAAAATTAATCGTGCTGTAAACAATAAAAAAAAAAGTACTGGGCGATATCTTCACAAATCTTTGTCCGAACGATTCATCTTGAAAACTTAAATAATCAATTTCTTTTTTTCTAGAAAATCTGCGTCACTCAGTAGTCTCGTGTCGATCTTGAAGCGTGGAATGTCCCCCCAGGTCCCGGCGTTTCACATGAGTGGTAAGTTCAATACAACCGAATAATTCTTGCATACCACTTTTTCCAGAATTTCTCCCGTGAGGAAAATCGGGATGACGACCGGAACATTTAGAGGGACCCGTTTGGTATTGAATTTCTTGTTTAATTTTGACAGACTGAGTGAGTTTAAACGTTTAAAAATGATACACAAAGTCTCGGGAATTTCCGCGGTGGCTTCGTTCTTCGCGCGTCCGCGATTAAAGAGTTAATCGGCGAAAAGCCGCGCGCTTTCCAAGCGGACACGGCTGTCAAACGAACATCGTTGCCCCTCTGACAGACATCTGCGGCGACGGCGTGTGCGCGAGCGTGCAGCGCACACCGAGACGCGCGTCCGTGGTGCAGGTGAAGAATGGTAGCCCGCGAGCGAGAAGGAAGGCCGGCGGCGGCGGGCCACCATGCTCGCCTATTATGGCAACCGAGCCATGGGGATTCGAAGAGTGGCCCTCGACCAACGGCAATCCGAATAAATAAAAAGGGAAAATAAGATATATACGCGTGTGGGTGTGGCGGCAGGCGGGACCCGGGCTCATTGCCACCTCCGAAGCTGTCGGATCTCGCACTCGCCGATAGCTATGCTGGTATGCGTACCGGGGGATTCGTGCTCGACCGTGTGTACCACACGCTGTATCCCCGAGACCGCGGCACCTTCCTTCCACGCCGACCTCGACCATGATTCCCTGCCCTTCGCGCGGCGACCGTGCCGAGAGTGCGTTTTTCGCATCATTGTCCGGACGTTTTAAACGTCGCAATCTCGCGTCTCGCTGCAAACCGTCCGGGATCGCTTTCCCACCCGACTTCCGAGAGATTTCTCAGTCTTGTTGCCCGGTGTTTCTTATTCCTCCTTCATCCACGAGGTATTCGATAATTCGAATATATGTACGGCGACTTTTGAGAAAAACGTCGTACCAGTTGTCATATTAATAAATTTCATTTTGAGGAAAATAATTATTACGATATATATAGGAAATTAATTAATTTGAATTAGAGAGATATATTAATGGACATAGGAATAGGAAGCAAATTTTTAAGATTTAGAAAAAAGCGTTCGAATCGCACGGTAAAAAGTTTCGTGTTAAATTTAACACATTTCACACATTCCAAATGGTTCACGCAAATTTTTCTGTTGATTTAACACCGAATTGAAAAGTAACGCAAATCATATGTCAGAAATTAATATCCATAATATGTTAATCGATACTGAAATATAAAATGTTATTTTAAATATTTAACACTTTATTTTAACTTTATTTTAACATTTACACGTGTTGAATATCGGCTTAATATAAAATATTGAGATAACGTGAACGCAATATGTTAAATTGACACACGGGTGTGTGAAAAATTTGACACGAACATTTTGACAGATATCGATTTTAACGCAAGTGCAAAACATTTCTTACCGTGTACAAGCTCGAAAGTATCAGTCGGGCGATGAGAAGGGAGCCAGTTGCGGGATAAATCGAAAGAATCGTGAAAATTTCGGTGGGTGAGGCGCTATTTGAAATCAAGCACGATTCGTGTCGCTAATTTCTCGTCGCTCCTACTTGGCTGCTCGTCCGTGGGCCACGTCCAATACATTTTTTTCTGCTCTATCGCGCGCCCGGCATGGCGAACACGGTGGACGCGGGCTCGTCGTGGAATCTAGATCGTGTAAAGGGTTGAAGTTGATAAAGTGTCCCTTTCCGAGCGACTCTTGCGGCCGCGCGAGCAGCGATGGCTATCTGGCGGAGCCACCTACGAGAGCGGGGATTAGAGCCGGTCGAGTAAGTGTGTCCCGGAGAAGCCTAATCGCCGTTGTTCTACTTGCGGCGAGTCCCGATTAGAATCTCAACGCCCACGCTCCGAGGATGCCCGTGGGTCCTCCGCGTTTGTCCGTCGCGTCGCCACTCGGATCCCGTTTAAATACGCGACTTGACCGCCGGGAGAGAGAGAGAGAGAGGGGGGGGGGACGTTATACCGCGGACGTGCACGTTCACTTCGCTGGAGAGACGAGCTCTTAAAGTAAGAGTTAAAGAGTAAAAGACGGTACTTAAACATTTGCCCTCCTTCGGGAGTTTCGCGCGGCAAGATAATCCGCCAGAAATATTAAACGTCACGCTGGTGGTGGAGGCCGTCGGCAGCCGTGTCCTGGCCTGTCTCCACCCGGTCGCGTATCTGAAATCGCTGCTCTCCGTACTTTTTCTGGAATTTTAAGTGCACGACGAAAAAACACGCATAGCGATGCGCGCTCGCGCGCGGTTTCAGCCGCGTTCTCGCGCGGCCTGAAACGGGCAGGGGCGCTCGGTGAAGCGGTTTTATTGGCTCGTTTGTTCTCGGAGGTGGCGGTTTCTTTGTCGCGACTAGTAACGATCGTTTTACTACCGGTTTCAGCGATTAGGGCTATCATGACGTTTCGCGAATAAAGAGAAAAAAAAAGGGAAGGAGAGAGAGAGAGAGAGACGCTGGGTGATTTAGCGGTCGTAAACGATCGTAATCAACCCGTGGCCGAGCTTCGTCGGTGTATCAGGCACTTTAGGGTGTTCGGGAATTACGGAGAGAAATATATTAGCTAATATAATATAGGTACTTTATGTTCCACCTGACAGGAGACACTCCGTCCGACAGGATTTGCGGCCGTTCGCGGTCCGATAAGCCTGCGATACGAGCGCGTTTATCGGCCCGGGCTCTTTTTATCGGCGTGTTTCGCCGTAATTTTTTCGCGACGACAATATTTTGAACACGCCTCTGTACAATGCTTATCGAGAACTTAGTATGTTTGTCGGTGCGCGCCGTCGTAACCGCCGTCGCTTTCTCTCCCCTTTTCGACAGCGATCTTTCGGCCTACCATTACGCAGCGAGGGATCCGTGCCAGCTTCGTTATCGGGGCGCCTTTTCATACATCATAAGAAAACAGGATATTCTCCAATGACTTTAGAATTTTACAGTCTTTACAGTTCTGTGAAAGAAACCGACTTTTCTCCACCTTCCCGCGGATTTCCTCGCTTTCTCCCGAATCGAAATTTTGGCCCTACGTTATGCCTGTTTAGCTTTACTTCAAGTCTTCATTAGGTCTTTCACTAGTGCTTCTTCGATACTACAAATGGGAAGTTATTTTCGTTTTCTCCAATTGAAAACTCAATGTAGAATTAAGTAGACTTAATGTATGACTAAAATTTCGACCCGGGCTGTCCAAAGAGCTGTCCGAGAGCTGTAGAAATTTGTTCACAAAATTCACGCGTGTGTGGTTAAAGCCTGCTTTTGCTTTTTTGCTTTTTTTATAAGAAAGAGAAAATTGAGAAGGAAATAGTTTTCTCCCCGGAACTTTAAAACTACATTTTAGAATCCGACATACATTCAATCGGAAAAGTTCCAAGAGTGTCAATGAGCGTCAATGACGCGTCAAGAAGAAAAAAAAAGGATAAATCGGAATTATACAATGTTTTTGTTGTAATGTTCCCAAGGCCAGATCGCGAAGTCGTTTCTCGGCGTGTACCTCCGCCGCGATTCGCGACGATTCACCGAGGCGAGCGGGACGAAAATTGATCGAACAAAGAAGTGTTAATTGCGTTATTATGAGCGGCCGGCTTATCGAGGTTTCGTCCGTCCACCGAAACGATCGCGATCTTATCGCCTCACGTCGTCCATTGTACGATTATTAAATACGATGATGCGGCTCTATTATTCAGGCATCTCTCGATGGCAACGATCGGTGAGAGCCGATCTCCGATCTCTTCTCTTCCCGTCTCTCTCCGTCCTCCTCCTCCTCCACCGCCGCCGCGCGATCGAGTGCCACGAAAAGATCGACGAGAGACTTCCTGCGCGGTCGTGCGGTGGGTCTCCCGACGTGATCCACGATGATCTCTGTTTCGACAACACTATAAATAACGACTTACACGATAATTGCCTATTTTCTTTTATTTGGGACACACGGACATCCGCGAGTCGAGTCTCGGCCGATGGAAGCCGTGGAAAAGATGACGATTTTCCGATCGCTCGGACAATTTCAGCGCATATTATTGTTTTACATTGATCGCTATTATTCGTGAAGCGTCGCATACATTGTAATTGTTATATAAATGCACAAGTTCACACAGAACAATAAGCATACCGTTTCGAGTGGTGCTGTCAGTATAATCCGGGTATTTTAATATCCGAGTAATACTCGCAGATCTACCCGAGTATATACGTTCGCAGATATTATCCAGATACTTGGACGTCCATATATTTAAATAGACAGATGAGTGTATTTATTTTCGCTCCGGGCTTCCTAAGAACGATGTAAAGATATGATACATTGATATTTCGAGATAGTGTGTGAATAATCAAATTAAAGTAAGAATTGTAAAATTAACTACAGTGTTGTCAAGTGAACAATGAGTGAAAAAGAAAAAAATTACCTCGACAATCAGAAAATAATAACGAGTTATTTAGAAATATTTAGAGTATTTAGAATATTTAGAAATTTGCAATACGTTCGTTTTGTTATTCGTTATTATTAGAAAAATCAATTATTTAAAACGCATAAAATTAGCATACGTACATTTAGTGAGCCGAGTGTCCGCGTAATACTCGAAAGGACTAGGTTACCAGGATATCCGGATAATCAGAAAACCCGGGTACTTGGATAATTGACATTGACAACGGTTAGTTTCAACAACTAGCGTTGACAACGGTTAGTTTCAACAACTAGCGTTGACAACGCTAGTTTCGAGTGATGCACAACGCTTTTTACCGCGAAAACATTCGTGTGTCTGATGATCCGAGGGAGGAATTTTCCGCCAAACTCGCATCCTCGCAGGAATCGTTGCGTTCACGACGACAACGTCGATCTGTCTTCGATTCGATGGCGTTTACAAGTTAATCGAATATCTTCCTTTGTCATAACGTTACGTACCGTCGTATCGGCGCGGTGACAAAAATCGATGGCGAGCGATACACGGTAAGAAAGCTCATTACAAAGTCAAAGCGCGTTCAGGTCGTACCTGAAACTCGCGACGATTTAA